CTGGCGGAGTTGTCTTCGTCGTTAGTTTTGCAGGATGCGTAGGAGCTCTTACGTTGTAAAAACTACATTGTCTTTCTTAAATTTGTTAGTTTTTTTATAGAATATATTTTTTCGAATAGTATAAAGCATATATAATTGACACTGACCTAATTATTTTTTTCAGTATTCGTTATGTCTTTTGGTATTTTTCCTTTTGGAGATGGGTGTGGCAATTGTTGGTTTTGTATTCCCACATACATTGCAATCTCTGTTGGAAGAATCTTTCACGGACAAAATAATTCAAACATACAGAGAAGATCCAGATCTGCAAAATTTCATTGATTTTGGTCAACAAGAAGTAAAAATATTGATTTATATTAACTAATAATTATTAATCAATAAAAATATATATAAGTTATCTAATTTTATACATGACAAAATATTCATAGAACTTTGCATTATAGTTTAAATGTTGCGGCTTGAGTCAAGAGGGATATTTGGATTGGGGGAAAAATGAATACTTCAACTGCACTAGCCCTAGTGTAGAGCGTTGCGGCGTACCGTTCTCTTGTTGCATAAATGCTACGGATATATCTGTACGTATATTGTTACATTCGTAAAAAATAAAAGATAATTTTATCTTTGATATTTTTATCTGTGAGAGATAAAACATTTTATACTTTTTTACTGCTGATAAATGCAAATAAGGTTCAATTTTTAGAGTGGGCTTGTAAATATTATGTGCGGCTATAAAGTTCAGATGTTACCAGTGTCGGAAGCAAGTAAAAAGGTTTGGACCAGCGGATGCATCGAAATCGTGCGTAGCTGGGCAGAACGTAATCTGTATACGATAGCTGGTATCGCTCTGGGTATAGCGCTCAGCCAGCTCTTCGTGATCTACCTCGCGAAAACATTGGAGGGCCAGATCGAGCTGCAGAAGTCCCGCTGGCATTCCTGAGCTTGACTTCAGGCCACCTACCGTTACCAGATACATTCTCCGGCCAACAGGCAGGTGGCCAGTGGCGGGCGATCGCGCGGATCCCAAGACACAGAGACAAATATAAATGCGCGAATGGCATTGCTCGTCCTCTTTGCGATCTCTTTATACATACTGTGCATTTTGTCCCTCATCAAACTCGTCCTTTATTTCAAGAATTATTTTCATCTGTACGTGAGCAAAGGATAATACGCCACCGATGATCGACGAGTCCTTTTCATACATTAGATTACGTTCGTGATCGGAGATCAATAAAGATCTTGCATAGAGATTATGTACACACGTGAATGCAAAAATAGTGTCTCGTGCGTTTATAATCAGTGATAAAAATTCTTTTTAATATTACAGAAAACATTTCTTGCTTAGTTAATCGCATTATTCAACTGCTTTGCGCTTGACATGGGATGAGTCATGTGTTATGTGTCATGCGATCATGTTTTTGTGAATACTGCACGGGACACGATTGTTGCATTCGTCTGCAACATGACTGATAAAGTCAAATGCACTAAAGACAAAAGTGAGAGAGAGAGAGAGAGAGACATTTATGATAAATTCTGTAATATGTATTTCACATTAAGCATATTACATTGCGTTACATTAATCTAATGTAAAAAAAATTGTTAGTTTAGAAGTTTACAATTGTGTAACATCTCAAGCATTATATTTTCTAAACCAATTTGAACATTTCAAAATCCTTTTTTCTTTTTATTTTATTGCAATGTATATTTTTATGCAATACTCAAAGATAATTTACTTAAATTAAGACATTCAGATCTGATATTATCAATTTTCTAACGCGAGAGATAGTTCATTGTAATATACAAAATCCATTATTTTTAGCACATTGACATCACGTTGTTTTAATGATTAATTATTGATGTATTATTAATAAGTGATATAAGAGCTTCTTTCATAGAAATTCAAATAACCATATGCACATTTTCAGATACATGACTTCCATTGAAATATGTAAGTTAAAACATTATGATTTGAACATTGAGATTAGAGATGAATGTCATCTTGTAAGTGAATCTTGATTGAAAATTTATTTGCTCTACTAAGATGACTACTAGATATAAATTAAATTATCAGATTGTTTTGATTTTTTTCTATATTTAAATATTTTTGAGCGTTAAATACATTCAATATCATGTAATAACACATATATAAGCAATTTTTGCTTCTTATTCTTTTTTATAATTGATAATTACGATTATTCTATGAATAAGTGGAAGTATGTGCATTGTTGAACTTATGACTATTGCTAATTATTAATGGTAATTGTCATTCATTTTAATGTATGCAATGCTATATTTGTATTACAAAATCATGAATGAGCGCACATTTATTTAAGTATAATATTACTAATTTATATTTCTCGCTATATTAGCATTACTCATGTACATGAGACAAGAAACGTCCAGTGCCAAAGTCAGAAATCGTTGTTCTTTCGTTTTAAACAAATCTGACAATAATCTGATATAAATTATTTGTTTAATGCATTTAGGTCTCTTTGTCAAGAATATATGTAAAACTGATATAAAACCTTCTAGTTTGTAATAAACAAGTATTATTCTAAGAGCTATTCTTCCGTCATTACCGATAAATCAAATTTATGTTGATAAAATCAACATGAAATCTTATAAATCATAGATAGCATAAAAAAATCATTACACTGCTTAATTGCATAATTAATTGACTATGGTTACTTGCAAATATTTCATTATAACAAAGCAATATTTATACATACAATATTTATTTATACAAAGATGAATCTATTATATCATTAGGTACATTATCAGAATATTCCAAGATAACTCGCTCTCCGTCAAAAATAACAGAGTCTTCAAATAATTTTGTTAAAGGTGTATCCATTGTGTTGCATATCAGATTTCCGGTAGAATGACGAAAGAGTTTTAATTTGTTTGTGGTTGTTGTATTGTTATTGTTGGGTACTTTAAGTGTATCCGCCATTGAATCTATACATTTGCCAATCGTCCAATGCATGTTGACGAAAGCACCTTTCGATGTGCCGAAATGTTTATTTTTAATTGTAAGTGGCAAATGCACAAGGAAATAACTTCTCTCGCTTGTTGGTATATTTTTCGGACCAATCGCAGAACATTTCACACGCATGAGTTGTACCTGCGAGCAGAGGAAGATGTATATACAAATTTGTGTTAGTTAATATGTTAATATCTGTATGTAATAATAATTTTATATTAATAACTGTATTAATATTTTCAAATTAATAACTTTTATATTACAATGTTTTATATGTAATATGTACTTTATTTGCCAGTGTTGTATTTTTGGATTTCTTTAGACTGTCCTCTATTTGTTGATCAACTATAGCTTTTGCTTCTGCAAACTGTTTCTTTGGTATCTGCCATTTCTTTAGTTTCTGAGTCTTCTCTGTTTCACTCAATTCCAAGCATCCATGATGCCTATGTGTCACACAAAAATGTTGTTTACACTTGATACAAGGCATCTCAACTGGTGATACTTCTTTACAAGACTCCTTAGAGCATGGAAAGCTTGCCAATTGTTCTATAGCATTTTTTGTATTCTCTGTTTTTATACATTCGTGTGATATCATATTGAAGTGTTCTTTACAGAAAGTGACTTGACAATGTTCGCATACAAATGGCAAGAAGTCTAACAATTTGCAGTCCTTTACTGAACAGTGTTTGCCAGTCTCCGGAAATTCCATTGTAATGCAATACAAAAGTATGCAACAAAAGTATTAAAATTATAATTGAATTTGTCTATCAATAAATTGAAAATACTTGGCAAAAATGATAGAAACAGCGTTTAGTTATGTAGTGGTGTTGGAGAATGCAGATGATTATCACTAAGAGAACTTAAAGCCAGATTATTCCACTTCTGTTCCAATTCCTTCAATGTCATGTGAGAATCGCCGTTGTCACTCTCAGGATCTGGCAGCTCGGCAACTGGTGTCGAGATGTCGTCGATGGGTAAACGTTCTTTGCGCCAGCCTTCATCAATTACATCTATCAGTCTGCCATCTCCGCATACCTGACTGTCCATCCCGCAAACGACAGGCAACACACTTAAGCTTGAGAAAACATTGCTGTACTTACAATATTATCTCAATAAATTAAATCTTATTGCTTGAATATCTGCTTGAATATTACATATCTAAAACTATAATACATTTGGTGTTTCAATAAATTTTTTTCAATAATGTTTCAGTTAATCAATAAAGCACTTTGAAGCATTCATAAAACAAAATGAACTATTGTCTAGACTGTATAGAATTAAATATAAATTGTATCCTGATATATTACCAGTATTGAAAATATAGTTTTTATTATAGGCATTATAGATTTTTAATAGTAATAATGTATATTTATAGTCATAATTACATCATTTCATAGAAGCAACTATTAAATGCCTATTTAAGCTTCTTAAAAGTAAAACTTAACTCCTTAACTTTTCTCTTGTACATCTTATAATTTTACTGGTAAGATGATTTATAATTTCATCAATTTTGATCGATTTAGCATTTGAGAAAAATATTTATCATAATCATATTACATTTATCATAATTTATCTATTTTGAAATTTGTCTATCTTAAAGTCGTTTTGTCTCTTTCTACAATTGATCAGATGATGAATAGATCATTTCTGAAGGAAAATTTTTTAAAGGAATTAAAAAGGAAAACATTCTCTTTAAAGAACAAAGAAAACTGATGGCAAAAATTAGAATTTTCAAGATTCAATAATACAATCGAATTATAACTGTTAATTTTTTTCAACAACATTGAGATTTATTTAGTCAATAATCTCCTAACACTTACCAAAAAGAAAAATCTCTTAGATATTTAATTTTTATATATTCGCAATTTAGTCTCGATTTCGAATAACTTTAGATCTCTTGAATACCTTATAAGATCAGAGGAATCAAAACGATCAGCAGAATCTGCAAAATCACACCTACGATGTATGAAATAATATAGTAATAGTCCTACCATACATATATACGCAAAATAAAATATAATACTAAAAGAAAGATAAAGATACTATCATGGTGAAAAGAAAATAAGGCTGAATCCTTATGCAAGCACCGGCGCTTTGATACCGAGCATTGATTGGTGATAAACGGATAATGAGGATTAGAGACCCTATAGTAAAACAGAGATGCGCCATGAGTCACGTGATCGTGATATTTCGCTGATTGGTCAGAATCTATCGCACTGCTTTCATGTTGAATTTGTTGTAAGCATTACGTGACGGTAAATTAGACTCTGATCAATCAGCAAAATATTACGATTATGTGACTCATAGCGTATATCTGTTTTACTATAAGGTCTCTAGGAAATAAATGGGAGCAATATGGGAAAAACTAGATGGGGACAATATGGAAAAAATTATGTGAGGGCTAGATGAGAAAAATTAGATGGGGGCAATGTGAGAAAAACTAGATGAGGGGCAATATGGGAAAAACTATGTGGGCGCTATATGGGAAAAACTATGTGGGAACTAGATGGGAAAAACTATATGGGCGTTAGATGGGAAAAATTAAATGGCGGCTATATAGGAAAAACTATGTGGGCACTAGATGAGAAAAACTAGATGGAGACTATATGGAAAAAAATATATGAGCGCTAGATGAGAAAAATTATATGGGAACTAGATGGGAAAAATTAGATGGGGACTATATGAGAAAAACTATGCGGATGCTAAATGAGAAAAACTAGATGGGGACTATATGGGAACTAGATGGGAAAATGAGGTGGACGCTAAATGGGAAAAACTAGATGGGGGCTATATGGGAAAAACTATGTGGGAACTTGAACCTTTATGAACTTGAACTTCTTTGAATTTTTTTTCTGGACTTTGTAAATGATATACGTGGTCTTCACGTTGCTTCATAGAGTTCTGATTTCTTCTGTTTGCCTCCTCATATGGACACGTACAGAAATGACGTGGTATGGCATTTTTAGACAATTGTTTCCGTCCAGCGATAAACATCATATTCTTTAAATCAAAATGTACCTGAAATATAGAAAAATATTAGAACTAAGAACAGAACTGAGAATTAGGATAAATATGGAGATTAGAAACTAGCTGTCGAAAACTTTATTTCCTTTTATTGGGAATAATTAATGGAGATCAATTCCTATTTACTTATCTCAAATTCTTTGCAAAACTGTGGGTTGTCAATCGGAACTCCTTCCAAGAACGGCTATCCATTGTTTGCAAAGATCTGCATTCAATGGAAAATTAAATACTTCGTAGTCCTTATCGCTTTTATTAGTGCAGCGATATGCAGCGCAACAAGTTGGCATGGTGAATATAAATACTGTGCGTAAAATATTAATATAATATAATGTAAAAATATAATATAAAAATAAATATAATATAAAAATATAATATAAAAATATAATATAAAAAATTAAATTATACAATATTAAAAGCAAAGCATGAAATAATCATCAATAAATAATCAAAAAATTAAAAAAAGATAATATACTAACCTCTTTTCATACGAATTCACGCTTACAACAAATTCATCATGGAAGCAGTACGTGGCGGTAAATTAGACACGATAGACTCTGACTAATCAGTGAAATATCACGATCACGTGACTCATGGCGCATCTCTGTTTTACTATAAGGTTTCTAGTACGACCATTTAACTAACCAATCAAAACCAAGATCTTTATTTTTTTTTTTAATTTTAATAGGAATCTATCCGTGAAGTAGGGTTTTGGAACGTAGTTCTGTGATCTGTGATTTTTCATAAGAGTTATAGCAGGTTACATTGGGGAGTCGAGACGACTGTTTTTCGTCGGATCAGCGCGAGCGAGCACGAACATAATGGCGACGCCGACCAATAGCGGCGGTAACCTCATTGACGAATTTGAAGAATCATTTACGGTAAAATGCACATTTGCTCCATGTTATCGTTAATCGTATCGCGCGTTGTCAGCAAACGGCATTTCTTTCGTTCATGCAATTACATTTGCCCTTTCTCGCAAACATCCTCTCGGATGTAACATTTTAGTAAAGTCATGTCGTAAATGTTCCATTGTTAACGTTGATGTTATTAATATTTCAGATGATCAATTTTTGATAGAAATTGCATTTGTCCTTTAACTGAAAATACAGTACAGTCCCATACAATACAGACTTACAAGGGATGTTCTAAATATGTCCTATGGATAAGAAAACGTTCCAAGGATGCTTCCAAGATATCCCTCAGATGAAGTGTGCTGTATGGGAATTAAATAATTTATTGTGTTAATAATGGAATATTATATAAGTTATCAATACTAAATAAATATCTTTTGAATATTTGATATAAAAAATTTGTTTAATTTTATTATCTGACATTCGAAACTTGTTTTTGTTTGAATGTTAAAAAAAAAAATCATAATAATATAGTCAAAATATTTCAGAATGTCAGCATAGTTTACTGAATGTTAACTGTCATTTTCTAGCAATGTTTGAGTATATTGACAAAGGACGAAGCAACAGGCAAAAAAAGATCTGGCACAGCCGGGACAACTGGTACTTCTGGTACGCTTGCATCTGGTGTACCTGGAACGCCTGGTGCTGTATCTGTTGTACCTGGAGTGTTGACAGCTGGTGGTTTGACAGTGGATAAAGTTGAAGGCTGTGCAGAAATGGAGCAAGCTACTATGAAATTCATAGATGTGGCTAGGCAGATGGAGGCTTTCTTTTTACAAAAGAGATTTCTGTTATCTGTACTGAAACCCGAGTTGTTGGTCAAGGAAGAAATCACTGAGTTGAGACTAGAATTGGCACGCAAAGAAGAGCTGATAAAAAAACATAACGAAAAGATTGCTATTTGGCAGAACATGCTGTCGGATTTACAAGGATGGGCACAATCACCTGCTCAAGGTCCAGCACCCAGTGGTAAGCAAAGTATTAGCCATTGAAATCAGACCCTCAATGATTTTATTAATGCTAATAGGTTTACCTAATGGAAATCAAAGTGGACAAAACCAACAGACTACAAATGGAGGTGGTAATGCTTCAATACAACAGCAACAGCAGTTATTGCAACATCAGCAACAACTGTTACAACAACAGCAACAACAGCAGCAGCAGCAGCAGCAGCAGCAGCATCCACAATTACAGCAACAATTACAGCAGCAAATGCAACATCCATTGCAACAACAGGTATTTAAGTGATGCTGTTATAACCGAATTAAAATTTTCCCATTTTGGGATATTTCATTGTTTAATTGTCGATAATGAATTTTTTTTTTTTTTTTTAAAATTGAAAAGGAAAATGAAGAAGAAAAAGAGAAAGAGGAACAGAACTATTGTTATGATGATATTGAGGAAATTATGTATAATTTACAATAACTTATACATAGTATTTTTCTTTTTAGTTAATAATTACTTACCTAGTTACTAAATTATTTGACTAAAATTCTAATTTACGTAAAATTTACTTACTAACCTTTTTAGAATTAAAATTTTGGTTTAATTTTTTTTGACTTGTCGTTAGTACTAATTAATTTAACTAAGTTATTTTTTACTTAATTGTAATTCTAGTAGTATTAGTAGTGTGTGTGTGTGTGTGTGTGTGTGTGTGTGTGTGTGTGTGTGTGTGTGTGTGTGTGTGTGTGTGTGTGTGTGTGTGTGTGTGTGTGTGTGTGTGTGTGTGTGCGCGCCATATATGTTATATATAAAGTTATATATACAATCTTATAATTCGCGGATCATTTCTTGGTAAGCAAATACAGCGGATTAAACTGAGTAAAAAATTCTATTATTTTGCAATTTTCGCAAATATCAATGAAGAATTAATAAAAATCTGATTAAATGAATATTTATAGTGATAAAAATAAATACTATTAGTAAATAAAGGAAGAAACAGCTTAGGCGTTATTATTTTGCTGCATATGATTATTGTGCTGCGTATGATTATTTTGCTGCCTACAGAATACATTTCTAATCATTTTCTTAACATGCTCATTCATTTTTATTTATTTTTTTATTAATTGCAAAAATTGTAAAATAGAAAACTTTTCTATTCGGTTCAATTTATAAAAAATGATCTGCGAATTATGAGACAATATATTAATTATAAATGTAATGATATATTGCGATGCTCCTCCTATTATTTGTTCGAATGTGTGACTGCTTTTACGTATGAATCTATATATGTATGTGAACCGCGTGTATAGGGTTTATATAAAAATCACGCATAATTATTACATGAACACTCTCGTTTTGAGGATTGAAATACTTCACTTTAGAACGCTAGAGAAAAATCGCTGAATTTTTCAAATGGTAGTCACTGAGGAGACAAATTAGTCTCGTCGCATACGCATAACAATTATAATGTTGCGTATAATATCAGTGCCTTATAATTTCCATACATAAACATACAAATGTATTATACAAAAGAGAATAGATTAAAATGCTTTTTTACGATCAACTGCGAAGTATAAATTTACATTAGAAAAATATCGAAAGATTAACTATATATGTTAATATTGTTGTAAAACGGTGCCAAAAAAACAATATGAAAATATGTACAAATACTTAGCCAAAAATTAAAAAAGAACGAAGAAATATGTAATAAATCTAATAATGGCAATAATAAAGCTTAATATTCATAGTTGAAATATATATATATATATATATATACACTTCGTATAATAGGAGAACCTAGATCACCTTTTCATTTTACATAAGAAAGTTTATATAGAAACTTAACGAAACGACGAACACATATGGACGGTTTTTTATCCTATTTTTTTTAAATATTATTTCCTATGAGTGACGCGATTTTTTTAGTATTATATCTCCGTATTCAAAAGGAAATATATATATATACACAGATAAGATAGTCACTCTTCTGCATGTAGATATTGTATGCATGTGCATCAAGTAATGTTATACAAATTGCATTTTGATTACGAAAATCAAACTGTCAAGTTCCTTCTGCAAAGAGTTAAATATAAGTGTGCCGCGAATAAGCGGAAAGGCATATTTCTTTACGCTAGGTAATAAACATTATATGACATCTAAATCTTAAGCTCGTAATCCCCATAAGAGAAGCATTATAACCATTGGAAATACTGTTTCACTTATGTCGTCTTGAAAGTAGACGTTGCGGCAGAATAAATATCTTTGTTTATCGTAAAAAGGAGAAGAAAACAGCATTGTGCCTTCTTTTATTTCCCTCGCCTACTTCTCGTCGTCATTCCTAAAAAATCCGATAGACTTTGGTCATTCGGTTGCGCGTGTCTATCTTTCCCAACGTATGCATGCATGTGGAGTATATTGTTCGTAACTGTCTTGTGAGAGAGAGTATAACGAAGTTCGCGCTTGTTTTTCGCGAAGTTTTTCTTGTAAGATATCACATCAGAGATAGGGATATAAATATCGAATGGAAACTTATCGTTTTCGCTGTCTGTATCTTTCCGTTGCGTTCTCGGTGTATCACGTACACATTCGTGAGAGGAAACATTCTTGTCGCGTCCCCGTCTTCACGATACAGCCTCACTTTGTGACTTTTCAGGTACAACAGGGTTCTGGTGGCCCGCCGACGTCAGGTCTTCAAGGTGTCGGTGTGCCGGTCAGTCAACAGGGCATGTTCATGGCGCAAGGCGGTGTGGGTGGCAGGACCGCCGGGTTCCCAGTTGGCGGTATGGGCAGTAGTGCTCTGCAAGGGCCGTTGGCCTACCTGGAAAAGACAACGAGCAACATAGGGATGCCAGAGAGGCGGAGTTGACGCGGAAGGGGGAGGGGCCGGGGCCGGGGTCGTGGAAGAGGCCGAGGTAGAGGAAGAGGCGGCGGTGGCAGTGGCCTACCGCCGCCGCCACCGCTTCTCGATCCCTCAGACCCGTCGTCCTATGTTGCTGCTGCCGCAGTCGCAGCTGCTGCGGCGCCCCTTCCCTCTCCGCAACAGCAGCCTCCTCCGCCTTGCACATGAATGTAATATGTGCGGCACTCTTCTAAAGAAACAGAGACTATGTTTGTACTTCCTGAGAGTAGATAGAGTATACTTGGTTGTCATGAGTGTTATGTTTGACGTTAGATTGTTGACTTGAATACGTTGTATCAGTTGGTGACGATGGTGATAGTTGAAGCACAATTCTGATATATGTTATTGTTATATTGTGAAGAATAATGTGTACAAATACATTGTATAATTTACGAGCTTACTGAGGTCTGAATGGGAAACGTGTTTTAACAGTGCCAGTTTTATTGTGATCTTTTGGATTAACGTTACGACTATGTGAACATTTTTTCGCATTTCTCCTGAAATTATTCTGGATGTAAAAGATGGACTTTTTTTTATTATTTATACTAGTCCCAAAAATTATAAAACGGGGGCGAGCTTACGTGGAACGCGTAAAATTGCGACATAGAGTAAGAAAAGTATGATAAATACTTCGTAATAGAAATGGCAATAAGAGAATTGTATATAAACGAGAGCATGTGTGAGCAACATGATACTACTTTTACTACACATAGGGATAAGGATATCTTCTTATTTCTTTATATTACATAGTTCATAATATTGATTCTCCAAAGTTGTCGACATTTTTGTAATAAACTGCGTTTATCGCTTTTGCAGTGCCTTTGGACTTCTATCAAATGTACTGTTTGTGCGATATCAATAAAATGTACATTATCTAGTGTACTGTGCAAAATCAGAATGTATATTATGCATATTGATCGTACTAATATAAGCATTCATGTTCTGAGGCATTTCCATGTAAAAAATTTTTATCCATATTTGTATAAATTTACAAATTTTTCAAAGAGAATATGATACAACGCACGTGTAACGTATATTTGTGCATTAGATAGGCATATTAATTATAATACATATAAAAAACGAGCAATCTCAAGATGCAATTAAAATTCTAAACTGAATTTTAAATTAAATGTTTTCTTATAATTTTATTAACATATTTTTAGTTTTTGATTATGCTATTATTTTTTATAATAGTATTAAACACTGAGATCAAAAATCAATTCAGTTTTTAATAATTCTTAATAACACATACTTTTAACAAATTCTTAGAATAGGTATTCAGAAACAAAGCAGTAAAGTAACTCGTTTTCTATGTAATATAATAACAAAAAGAAATATTTTATATATGAATATTAAATTAATATTAATGACAGACAATCTATTTTTCATATTAATAGGCAATTTTTATATATTACCTTGAACCTTTAACCATAGAACAGGATGCTTATATTCGCTATTTTTTGGATCTGACATATACAATATATAACTTTCATCCTGTATACAATATTATATTGTATGCACTTTAGTATACACATAGTTGAAACAAATGTTAATTATATACATATACAGAGCACGCCTTATTCTTATTTTCACTATTTTGGTTAGTTTAAAATTCTGATTGTAATAATATTCTTAAGAATATTTCCCCCCAAAAAATTCAACTTTACATATGAAGGTAATTCGACTATACAAAATTGTAAAAAAAGTTATATAAAATTTATTTTCAAGATTGTTGTAATAGTGATAATCTTCTTTGATCAAACGTGATAGTATAACGCACGTATAAAATGAGATTATCAGTTTAATTGATCTGTAATAAAAATTACATTTCACTTTTATATATAGGGGAACGGTTTAATAAGGGAAAGATTTTTTATCGGATTTATTTTTTTTGGAAAATGGATACGGATCAACCGGATTGAAAAGTTTGATGCTAGGTTTACTGATAGAAATAATTTGATGACAAATTTTTCACACTCTTATGTGTTAAATGCAATGAATATGTAATTATTATATAATTAAATTTCATATTACAGGATGTATCTGGAAATGTCTTCGAGAAATGTGAAGATTATGTTGAAATAAGATGAGCAGTTTTCACATCTAAATGTTGTTAAGCATTCTATTTCAGACATCCTTTTACCACATGTATACATTATTTTTACGGGTTATATATTTTAATCATACAAGAACTGGTAACTTAAAAAATGTAGGTACTGCCTAATATGGTGAGGTATAAAGATTTTAATTCTGGAGATCGTATGATCGCATGATTAAACATGTCAGGCTGTGAGAGAATCAAGCCTTAAAATATATATGTTTTGTATTATCCAGTTTGTATTATCTTTAATCTTGGAACCTGATTTATGAATTATTATATAATAAGACATTAAAAATGCTGTTACTGGCCTATGTTAAATTATGTATGCTTTTTATCGTTGTATTGTATATTATCATTTGAAGTTTGATTGAATTGATCATCTAATTAATCCTCTCCATATTAAGCGCAATTCCCCTATATGTATGTATATCTCTATATACATATCCTTCTGTGTTTTACATATATGTATAGAAAATTACAAGAACCCGTTTGATGTGCGAGTTAGATAAGATGACCATCTGCAGATCGTTTAACAGACATCTACAAATCGTATAACCTGTAGGAATTGTATAAGCGTACGTGTCGGACGTCCGGTCATTCCAGCCGGGATATATGGCAATTCGTCATGGGCAGGACCCATAACACCAGCTATGTCCAGATGCATCCATGGCGTATCCTTAGCGACAAACTCTCTCAAGAAGGCAGCAGCTGTGCAAGAGCCACCGCCTTTGCACTTCGCAATGTTATTTATATCAGCACCCTTGACTTTTTCTGAAAATTATCGTGATAAAAATTTTTAAATCTTATATAAGCGATGAACAATATGGATGTTATATTTTTTTTAAATAACGGACTAGAAACTACAACTTGGATATATAAAAGAATTTCTTAAATAATCCGAATCAAAATTAAAATAGATAACGTAATCGCTTATGTAACTCCACTTACTTATCACTTCATCCGTGAAATGCTGCCATAACGGAAATCTCCATACTCGATCACCGGTTATCGTGCCAGCAGCTCTCAGAGCTTCATAAAAATGGCTATTATTGGTAAACACTCCAGTCGCGGAGTTTGACAAGGCAACTCTCATGGCACCAGTCAATGTAGCAATATCCAAGATCAATCTATTTAGATTGAAAACTTATCAGCTTAAAATTAATTGCGATAACTTATCTGTATATCTTTAATAAGATACAGTGTATAACACAATGATAATACTGAGAATTTATAAAGGTATCTTGTTTGCATAAAAATATATTGCTAAACTAATAAAAGATATTAGGATATAGTTCTCTCTTAAAAGATATTAGGATATAGGTTTCTCTTCTTATTATTGCTAATATATAAATCTTAGATTAAGCACTAAATCTTATAGAACAAACCTTGGATTAAATTGCTGTGCATAACACAGCGCATCTGCGAGAATCAGCCTGCCTTCCGCATCAGTATTATCCACGATGATAGTTTTTCCATTCATCGCCTGTACTAGATCTCCCGGCTTTGTAGCATGTCCAGACGGTAAATTTTCCGTAAGTGGGATTAATCCGATGATATTTTTCTTCAATTTGAGCTCCGCCGTGGCTCGAATGGTGGCGGCCACGCAAGCGGCGCCACTCATATCAGCACGCATTTCGTCCATCTCCGATGACGGCTGCAAACAATCATTGCGATACCTTATTTGTATATCGATAATAAGATACAGTGTATAACACAATGATAATACTGAGAATTCACAAGGCATTATTCCCTTCTTAGTTTTATTTCCCTTTATATCATTAATTTCTTAGAAATTAAAAGAGAGAAAGAGACTTACTTTAAGACTGATACCACCAGCATCGAAAGTGACTCCCTTGCCAACGAGTACCACTGGTGATTCATTTTCGTCGGCGCCTTTGTAATTGATCTCGAGAAACTTGGGCTCTTCGACGCTACCGCGCGAAACGCTGAGAAATGAGCCCATTTTTTCTGCTGGGCCCAACTTTTGTCGTGTACTTGAACATCGATTCCGAGATTTGTTAGGACCTCAAAGACCCGTTGCGAAAATATCGTAGGTGTCATCAGGTTCGCAGGAGTGTCCGCGAGCTCGCGAGCCCAATTCTGTGCCTTGGCTTTGATAAGACCCTCTCGCCATTCCCTTTGGAACAATGATTTGTTAGTTTTGTGATTGTAAAAGGAAATTTAGATTTTTTTTTAATTTTAATAGAAGTCTTTTTATGGACATAAAGAAATATTACTCACCTTTCTGCTTCTTCTCCTTCTCCGTAAAGCGAAATCTTTGGTAATTTCTTTTTCTTCTCTTCATTCTTATATCCTTGATAAAGCCATGTGGACAGACCAGCTCCCTCGGCGGCGGCTTGCGCATCTCCTAGTGTTTCTAATTTGATATCCTTAATCTCAACATCGTCCAATGCACGGCATCCCGCTGGAACAATAAAACTAATAGAATCTATAACGCTTTACAATGACACAACTTTCTTTTTTAATAGTTTTCATTTAACATCTATTTAGGAAAATAAATAAAAAGCATATCAATTCTTGAAAATAATTATAAATATCTGTAATATCTCATAATAATCTCATAGTGCATAAAGTGCCAATTAACTCTTTAATATAACATATTGAAATACAACAAAATTGTGTTCCAATATGTTACAACGTTAATTTCAAAATACGATTTAAAAGACAAATAATATAATAGAATGACTGTTTTTGCATAATACATAATTTGAGGATTACCTGCTGCAGCAGCACGTACATTTTCCTTTCCTTCATGGATTTCCTCAAGTTTGTTAATGCCAAGACCTTGCTTCCCTAATCCAACTACTGCAACTCCGGTGTAATCTGTTTCATCCAAACCCCAAAACACTCTAGTATGACCTTTAGGGATCTTTGGTCCTGCTCTGTAGCGTAAACATTCGTTTGAAATTAGTGAAAGAACTTAATCGTGACAATTTGTGAGGAAGATACGCGACAGTAATGCACTTAATAGACAGATATTCAGACACAAATTCGTAAATTTATTAATTATAATAGGATCTAGGCATTCCTTTTGACATTCATCATGTTCGGTAGTGTAATTTGCAATTTTAAAATACATTCTAAAAATATACTATTCTTTATTCTAGAATATTCTTCTTTTCATTCAGTTACACATTATACATCGGTACATTTACAATTATTCTCCTCGGAGATTATAGCTACACATTGATTCACAACTGTTGTTCTCTGAGCTACAGTACCAGCGTGGATACATTACAGATAACTTTTTCACATTCAGTTTCTCACTAACAAGTTGAATTTTCGAGTATGTTACAACCTATTCAGCAGCTCAAATATAATATAGTGAAATATTTGTTGATAAACTTTATCATTAGTTTCTGTCATATCCAACAACATTATAAGTAATAATGTGACTTTGTCATGGGGTTTAGTTGGCTTAGTTGTACAGTGAAATGAAATAATTAAAAAATACATTTTTATATAATATATTCGTTCACAAACAACAAATAATAGAAGTCTTATTAATACTTGTGACAGAAATTCTAAGCAATTTCGTGAAAAAGAAATTAAAATGCACTCACTTTCTATTATTTTTACATTTCAAAAACCTATGCGAAAATGTTATTTTTATCGCAATATATTTCATTTTTTATTTACTTTTTGTACATTTTGGGGCACCTCGGAATTTTTTTTTTTACAACACTCGTATTGCTTAGAATAATAATTTATTTTGCTCTAATTGTCTTTTAATAATATTTCAATGTAATATAACAAATTTTTCAATAATATAATTAAAAATGACAATATAACTACATAAAAAAAATTGACGTTGAAAAAAAATATTTCAAGAAAAATTTCAACAAAAATCTGTGTTATCTATACAATTATCGGTGCAGAAAATATTTGTAAGTTATTGATTACACCTTATCATGTCTCTGTTTACCAGATTGTGCAATCATGGTACTATCAGTCAAGTTAAGCTAAAAATTTTTTCTGGTCGCAAAATATTAAAAAATTTTTTGAAATTTCTACTTTATTGCACAGTAGCGAAAATATCAGTATATGAAATATCGATATTGCAATAACTGATAACGACTGACTCTAAGAAAATACAGGTACGATTTGTATATAGTCGCCAAAATTACATGTATCCATTTTATATTATATTTTAATATGTGTATATTAGTTTTCATATTAGTTTCCATTCTGATATTGTATTCTGTTTTCCAATTTCTAAGTAACTTAAACAAATGTGTTTTACTGTGCAAATTTTGTCAAAAATATTGTTATCAAACATTTGTATCACTTTGAAATTTTTCGTTAGGAGCAGATATGATAGATTATATAAAATTATTGAAATAATCAACATTAGAATTTTAAGAAGCGTTATTAAAAAAATTACTCTCGAACACACGCGATGCTGTACATTTTTTTTTTAGACTCTAACGCTGTTATCAAACTATTGCATTTATCGCAGTAAATATCTCTCACACATACACGCACACATATACACGCGTCAATCATGTTTAAAAATATATATATATATCTGCATAAAATACAGATTAACAAGCGTGCAATATAGTATCTCTGGCGAATGTTAAGTAACGTAAAATTATGAAAGATCATTTTTGTAAGTCACATATGAAGAAATCTTTTTTAAACGTGTTATAACAATGCAAAACTCTCTTTTATTATTACGATTCAGTCTGTTGAGATACAATTATATCTAAATTAGATTAAAAAATAGATTCGAGATACGAAAAACGTAATTAACGTACCGATTTTTCCTAATCATACTTACACACAATAGTATACAATCCAGAGAAAACATTTGTGCTCTCTGGTACATTGAGCATGGATCAAAGATCTCCGCTTGCAATAGTTCATTCGCCAATAATATATTCAATTTCATTTCTATCCGATTTAAATTACGTTAACATTAGAAATTTTCACTATGTCTTATTATTATAAATAATTACATTATTTAGAATGATTCCATCGTTTCTCGTTGTTGTCCCTAAAATAATCACAAATACCATAAAATAAAAAGGGTCTAAGTGTATGCTAAAAATATTAATAAAAACACAAAACATATAGATACAATAGATATTTGTTAAATTCTTGTGAAATATAATCTTTGTCATTACTCTTATAATATTTCTACTTAACTATCTTTTTTTATTTAGACCCGTTTTAATTTATAGTAATCAAATACGCATTTCACTCATAATCGAGTTAGTTCGTTCAATTGGCTCTCTCTCTCTCTCTCTCTAATTGTCTCTTAAACCAGTTCTAATATTTTGATAATTCCTTGAGAATTAGCGGCTACCACAACATTAGACATCTGCCTCCAACATACCGCAGATACGAACTCGTTCAGATCTTCCTCTCTTCTATCCTGTACTTCCAATATGCTTCGAACAGCATCGAATTTGTACGAGAACAATTGTTTTGTCAGACCTTTGTAATACACATACAGTGCGTTATTTTCGGATCCACAGGCAACGTAATCGCCATCGGTAGCGAGTCCGACAAAATTCTTCTCATTCACATGCCCGACGAACGATCGAAGACAAAGTGGATTATTTATATTCCACATCTTTAACTGAGAATCCGTACTGGCCGAGACGATTTCCTCCTTGTTAATAAATTTAACATAAGACACAGCTTTGCGGTGGCCCTTGAATATACACAACGCTTCCTTCATATTACGTAGATCATAATAATGTACGCAATGATCCGCAGATCCGAATGCCAAATGACATGAACTGCGCGGATTGAATTTCACGCAGCATACGTTTGCCTTCGCTTCTAACGACGCCACGGAATAATCGGTATTTAACGCCCATAATTTTACCCGAGCATCGTCAGAGCCGGACGCGATCAGTCTGGTATCCACGTCGTTGAAATCAACAGACCAGCACCGCTTTTCGTGTTCCTGGAACGCTTTTGTCCTCTGACCGGTCGTTGCATCCCATACCGTCACAGTACCTTCGTAATCCGAGGATGCCAACATGCCCTTATGGAAGGAGTTCCATGACACGCATGAAATTTTTGAACTAGACACCATTTCAACACAGGGATAATGAATATCGACAGTGTCCCGTATAACGGCGCCATAATCAAATACTTTTATCCGCTTGGTGACACCAGCGATCGCAAAGAATTCATTATCTTTATCGAACTCAATACTTGATACGATAGTGGAATTGTTGAAAAGATCTGACGAATAATTGAGAGTGGCTAATGGACGCAGGGAATTGTATCTCGAGAATTTGACGAGATTTTCGCGAAAAATATCCAAACCGGAACTCGTGCTGTGCATGCCACCGTGCTGTTGTTGAGTTTCGCTCTGGGACTGCGATTTTTGACCGAGCAATAATTCCTTGCCACGAGAATCGAAGTAGCATTGAACGAAATCGTCAAAATGAGCATGCAGTCGTTTCCTGCGTATAGCCAAAGTCGATCCACCGGGTTGATTGATGTTCGGATTAATGAAATTATCCGTGCCGGCGGTCGCTTTGTCGCTAGGCTTCACCATATTCGAATCTATTATATCTATAAGGCCAAGCATCTCTCGTCTGATAGCTGAAACTTGCGCAGAGTCATTTTCACTTGCCTTCTTGACGTCCTCCACTCGCGGACACTTGCTCTGAACATCCTTCAGGATGTTCTCCACTTCCTCCATGTCCTTCTTGATTAATGCTACCTCCTTCTGCAACTGATTCTTCTGTTCCTCCTTTTGCTGAAGCAGATGTTTAAGGAATTCATGCAGAAGTTTATTTTGTGCTGTGCAAGTTTCTGCCTCGAGTAGATGCTTTCGTTGAGTCAGCACCTCGAGCATCACATTCACATCGGGCAAAGTGAGATTGGCGCTCTCTGCTGCCACGATGCTCCTCAATCCATCAACTGCTGGCGCTGATGAATCACTACCCGTCGCTCTGTGCCTACTGTTGTCCGCGTAAGAGCCTAGCTGAGCGAGGCCCTTGGTTCTCGTTTTGTACTTGGAAACTAACTCGTCCAAGAGAAAATTAGGGAAAATGTCTTGTTCGTGACACAACGTGAAACTGCATTTCGGACAACGATCCTTAATCTCTAAGCACTTTACGATACAATGATGACAGAACGTATGCCCGCAACGAGTGATGTACGCCGTATCGATAAGATCGAAGCAAATTGGACACATGTAATCATTGCTCTTATCTTCTAACATTCCGGTCATTCTCTGCAGCACATTCGTAGGTAGGTGATGCTTGTTAATTTTACTGCTACCTTCGCCTACTCCACCACTGCTCCCTGCGCTGCTATCATTCCCCATATTACCATCGCCAGGAGTCGACATTACTATTATTACTCTACTCGATTCCTGTCAGTCTTGAAGCAGTGATGGTTAATTAACTCAACGATTAACAGCTTAAAATCTCCTATTCGATTTGTCTGGCGTCGCGTCGAAAAGAATATGTCATAAATCAGACAGTATTATATTCTCATTAATAAAGCGCAGCGTGTTTCTAGGATATCCTTGTGCAGAGTAAGTTGCGCTTCATATCATGCGTATAATACCGTTTCTCTAGTCACTCCTGAAACAATGAAAATAATGCCAGTGAGCTCATGAGGCGCAAAACTATCATTGAAAAGTTCATCAAAAAATTTCGACAACAGAAAAAATACTTTATGTGAGAATTTTTAAGATAACAAAGGGAAAGCACTTTTGAATGTCAGATAAAGCTCAGGCAGCATTATAACGATTGTTTCAGGCTGGAAATGTGAATAAAATATTTAAACATATTGTTATATCGTATGATGAAACAAAAGTGAAACAACAATTTGACAAAGTGCAATGACTGTGTGTAGGGGCTTTCCTTGTACACGTCCCAGTCCTGTATACGTTAGTGTACACACTTTGTTAAACAGATATGTGCTAAGAGAACATATATATGTATATAAGGGGACACAGATCAATTTCGTCAAGAGAAGAGAAAGGTTCAACATGGAGACAGAAAAAGATATTCTGATATATCTCGAGTCAACATATGTATCCAAATAATCAAGGCAGAGTCTGGCAAGTATGTTCTACGACAGCACACAAGGGGTACAGCCTTGTTAGATAAAAAAACGATACTAACACAGATACGCGCTGCTGTGTGTATGGCGTCTCTAAAAATCGCGCGGATGCTCAAAAGAGATTACAGCAGTGTCGTGTAGTGGCAATAAGACTTACAACAAGATGTTTTTCAGCAGTTTGCCATTGACCAGCTCATTGTACTTGGCCGCTGTAGGAGTGAGCACGACGTTGTCCTCGTTCTCTGTTTCGTATACACCCAATACTAATCCCGTCTGTAGAGAAAAAAAAGATAAATATGTGGAGAGAGTGAGTAATTGAAAATTTAATACGAGCGCGGAACAATCGACGAGCAAATTTAATTCTGAGAATTTGGGAATCGCGTCGACAACTGCTAACTTCAATCATTAAAATCACGAGGAACAGCTTAGATAACCCGTGTCCGCCCCTGAAGTGACCCGTAGGTGCACACGGCGACGGGTCACATCGTGTCGGATGTTCGTCGATTTTCCCGAATTCAACGACAATTCTGCGTCCTGTCGCATCGAGAACCACACGCCGCGTCAAAAGACATAAGAAACTCGCGTGATTACCTTCATGGTCGATACGTTGGCGAGAAAACGCAAGTGCAAATTTCCGTGCAGTAATGCCTTAGCCCTAATAAAAGACAATGCCATAATTCATTCCCGAGAGCATAAGTTGATGCATATATATATATATATATATATATCATCACGAGCGCCACATACGACGGCAACGTGAACCGCCAGCGACGATTCTGATAGGCCGGTTTTTTTGATCCGTGATCGTTGGCACCGTGCGAAAAAACCGCGCGAATTACGAATGCAAGGATTCGTCCTTTCTCGCCGATCGATTTCACGTCAATAATAAAAAATAATTATCGTTTTATTATTGTGTAAAAATCTTAGTATATTTTTCTTTTATACTTTATAAAACAAATATGAATATTTATATGTTTCACGTTTTAAAGAAAGAAAAATCTGATATCATAAAATAATTATGAATCATAATATATTGAAAATTGTAATGTATAAAAAAAAAAATAATTTATAGACAGTATGTAAAAATATATTTTATCTTTATTTTTTTGTTTAATATAATTCTATCTAGTTCTTCTAGATTTATTATTTAGCTAGAAATTGAGCTTTTCTTAGCAAAAATATTTAGATTATGTTTCGTAAATAAAATTTTACGTAAATTTGTCCAAATTGCTATGATTGTGCCAGACATCGATACGGTGAATTTATAGGTTTCCTTGTGTTATGCTTACATTTTCATATAACTCGGATGTAGCTATATTGCAGTAACATTTCTGCAATATTGTCACGATGTAATGTTGCAATATAGCTGTAAGGTTTGTTGTATGGGTTTCCTTCGCATTTCTTATTTTTTCTTCCTCTAATACCTCTATATATTCATCTCGCTTTAAATGCAAATATTAGAGAATGCAAGGTGAATTTTTAGCGTTTTAGATTGCTCCAAGAGGGACTATTGACGTCATAGTATATTTCTTGCACTTTAAGCAAGATGGAGGCGTTGGAAAAAAAAAGAAAAAGGCAAATACAGGAGATATATTATGATGTCATTATTCGAGATCAAATTCATTGCGAATCGAAAACGCTATTTGTCTCGCAAGAGAGAGAGATAAATCAATTGTAATATCGAAAAGTATAAGTCACACGATGTAAATATTCCGTCATGAAAATCATTCATAAGTTGGCATCTCTCATTTCCACTTTTATGTTTTTAAAATGAGATAAATATGCATATATGCGTCGAAAAGAAAAAAAATAGAATGTCCACTTATTTTAATTATATATTTTTTTATTCTCTTTATTCTTTATGTTTAAAACAGAATAGATATATACCCAGCTTTTAAAGAAAAGATGAGCGAAAAACAAAATGTAAGTAACAACAAAAGAAGTTTAATAAAAGCGTATAAAAAATAAGTTCAGAAAAATGTTAATCGTTAAAAATTTTATAAAATCGTAAAAAATAAATTAGAGAGTTTTATATTTTATATTAAATGGACCTCAGAATAATATTTTGTAACACAAAGTTATTAACATTTTATTAACATTGTCCAATTTTATTGTGATATTATTTTACTACTATTATTACGCTTATTTTTCGTTTTGTATAAATCTTGTTTTTCGGAATTCAGGATTTCGTTCGCGTAAAATCTAAATAAAATTTTGATTCTTCAAGCTTAATTCATCTGAGCCTCCAATGAGGCGCAGTGCTCTTCGCAATGCGTCTTTCATTTTGAGCCTACTAGAAGTCCCGGTTGTCGACTTGGAGAGGGGCTCGATTGTGGAGAGGGGGACGGTGTTGAGCAGTATTGGGATCCCATAAGTGTGTCGGGGACCTGTCATATGTCAGATTTTCCGTTCCACATTCGAAACGCGATCGCGCACGTTCCTCGACGATCGCACGAGCAATTCGACAAATTCCAGGGCACGCGTGACTATCGAGTGGACCCCGTTCTCCGCGATCCGTCGATCTCCCGCGCGAGTGAAACGCACTCGGGCCCCACAGCTGCTTCAAGAGTTGGAATGCGGGATCAACATGGAGAAGGCGGATAGATCGATATTACTCGGTGATGTCACGCACGGTCGCTGACTCTCCCGTCCGGCATCCCGTTGTGAGTTGTGAAATTTGCACGTCGAGCCGTAAACGGCGTAACGCCGTGCGTATGGACGTCGATAAGGCCCCACCCCATGCCGATAACAATTCGCGGCCTGTTAATAGCAGTGATGAAATTTTTTTTCAAAAGCGAATATCGCTTCGCGCGTGAAGATATTAATAAAACTATATGAAAGTTTAAGTTAGTCGAGAAACGTGGGCTTGTGAGTTTTAGTTTTAATATTTGTCTCTATAAATTTAAAAAAGTTCATTCGCGAATTATATACAAATTAATAAAGCAAGTAAAATTCGAATTTTTAAAATATTGTTACTTGATATCAATTTAAAAACAATTCCCACTTGTCAATTTTGAATAATTCGATTATTAAATTAGAATTTGTCTCTAATTAATCGTATACTTTTTAAACAAATTTAGATAAAAAAATATATTTTTAATTATAATTTTTATATTATTTATATTATACATAATTATCTCACTGAAAAATTTAAAATTTATTTTACTTATACTTGAAAAAAATAAAAATTTTGCGTTGTAGTATCCCTTCGAGATAATAAAAATAGTTTTCATCTCCATTTGAATGTGATTATATTGAAATAAATTCTGAATTGCAGAACGGAGCATGGAATGGAAGGATCATGCCCACTCCTCTTTCCCAGCTTCGGGGAGCAGAGCGGCTCTGAGCGAGGAGGGGGCTATTCATCGCAGAAAGTTTATCGACCAGGTGCAGATGCCATCGACTTGGGCTATCATACTCTTGACAATAATGCCTGCCGTACCACATCTTCATCGTCCTCGTCAACTCCAGGCGTATCTAGTATCACGTCGACTCGCCAACAGCAACAGCAACAGTTACCACAGTCCAAGCACCATCTGGTTCACCACATCGCGGTCAATGACCTCTGTCAACTCGATGACAATCTGCTGCTGAGGATCTTTAGTTGGCTCGATACTCGCGATCGCTGTTCCCTGGCGCAGACTTGCCGGCGCCTCTGGGAGATTGCGTGGCATCCAGCTCTCTGGCGAGAGGTCGAGGTGCGTTATCCGCAGAATGCCACAGCGGCATTGAACGCGTTAACACGACGTGGCTGTCACACATGCGTCCGTCGTCTGGTCCTGGAAGGTGCTACCGGATTACCCGGCATCTTTGCCCAATTACCATATCTTAATCTGACTTCCTTGGTGCTGCGACACTCACGTCGTGTCACTGATGCCAATGTCACCACTGTATTGGACAGCTGTGCTCATCTTAAAGAGCTTGACTTGACCGGCTGTCCTAATGTTACTCGTGCCTGCGGTCGTACCACTATTCTGCAGCTTCAGTCCCTCGATCTCAGTGACTGTCACAGTATCGAGGATTCCGGCCTGGTACTAAGTCTGTCGCGTATGCCACATCTGGGATGCCTTTATTTGCGTAGATGTGGCCGCATCACCGACGCCAGCCTGGTCGCCATTGCATCCTACTGCGCCAGCCTGCGTCAGCTATCGGTATCGGATTGCGTAAAAGTGACTGATTTTGGGGTACGCGAGCTGGCGGCTCGTCTCGGCCCATCGCTCCGTTACTTCTCCGTGGGAAAATGCGACCGCGTGTCCGATGCCGGTCTGCTGGTCGTCGCTCGTCATTGTTATAAGCTGCGCTATTTAAATGCTCGTGGTTGCGAGGCGCTCAGCGACAGCGCGACCATTGCTCTGGCGCGCGGTTGTCCGCGTATGCGCGCTCTGGACATAGGCAAATGCGACATCGGTGATGCAACCCTCGAAGCACTATCTACTGGATGCCCGAACCTGAAGAAGTTGTCCCTGTGCGGATGCGAAAGAATTACCGACGCCGGTCTTGAGGCATTGGCCTACTATGTCCGTGGCTTGCGACAACTCAACATTGGCGAGTGTCCTAGGGTCACATGGGTTGGCTACCGCGCGGTCAAACGCTATTGCCGACGTTGCGTCATAGAACATACTAATCCTGGGTTTTCTAGTTGATGTTATTATTACAACATCGTTTGTATTGGAAATCTCGAATAGCGTGAAGAGATATTTTCGACAGAAATATTTCCGAGAAAGAGAATATTCTGACGAAATTCTCTAAAAAAGGGCTTTAAAGTATATCCTGAGAATATTAAAATTAAGAATATATAGATGATATGTTGAGAATATTATAAAATTATATATATATATATATATTTTTTAGCATAATTTAAAAAAATGAGACAATATTCTCAGGATATTCAATTATCTTGTATCACTAATCTCAAGTGCCAGAGTGTAATATAGAGAAAATTTATAGGAAAATTGTAAACCCAATTTTTTTTATTCGAGTTTATGCGACGATAAATGTTATCCTTTTTGATGACGATGTCGAAAAGAAAACGATATAGGATGAATTGTCAATTTTCGAAATCAATAATTTGTATGCGATTTATTTATTAACAAGCACTCTATTTCATCGCTTGCATATTAATTTGTAAAAAGATTATTTCATGATTGGTTGTAAAAATATATGCATATATTCTGTTTCAAAAGTCATGCTATTTATTGTCTTTTTATAATTTAATGCACTGCGTATAATAATAATGAATTGTTTGTATTCTTATAACAACGTTTGTAATTTATTGTAATAACAATATGATATTAAATCTTCTGATTTCTTGATGTTATTGGAATTAATACGTAGATTAATATAATACACGGCATGTACAGTATATATGGAAATATACAGTATACATAGAAATATAAAATAAATATCCCTTGTTGAGCTGAGTTACTTTAAAGATACAAAATTTCGTGACTGATTTTGTATTTATGTCCATTAAAAAGTTTATTATTGTTACAAAAGCAGATACATTTGAAATAAATCTCATAAAACAATTTTAAAAAATTCATCCTTAAATAAAGCAAGATAACAAGATCACAGTTTTTTCAAAATCTTTTTTACTGAGTCGGAGA